TTTCTGTGGGTGTCACCATTTTGCATTGACTCATAACATTTCATTGGAGCTACTAAGACAGTAGTCAAATGTCCTTTTGGAGACTGCAAGAAATATAGAACACCTCACAAATTTGTGTGTCATCCATGTACAGGGATCATGCTGATCTTCTCTATATTGTTTCAATTTTAGTGTATGTGCTGCCAAAACAAGCACAAACATCTACTTTTTTTTTTTTTTTTAACATGGAGTCTTGCTCTTATCACCCAGGCTGGGGTGCAATGGTACGATCTATGCTCACTGCAACCTGTGCCTCCCAGGTCCAAGTGATTCTCCTGCCTCAGCCTCCCAAGTAGCTGGGATTACAGGTGCCCACCACCATGCTCAGCTAATTTTTGTATTTTTAGTAGAGACAGGGTTTCGCTATGTTGGCCAAGCTGGTCTCGAACACCTGACCTAGTGATCCACCCACCTCGGCCTCCCAAATTGCTGAGATTATAGGCATGAGCCAATGTGCCCGGCCACAAACTTCTATTTTTATACATGGATACCGATGAGTCATGGATGAGGCTTAGCTCTGTTAAATCTAACTTACTTAAGATTTTGTGAATTCTTTTGAATGGCTTCATTGTGAGGTAGAATTTTAAAATATTTTTAAAAACTCAAGATAGAGATGCAAGTAGTTTGGGAGATTTTTACTTTTATGGAAAACAGATCACTTGAGGGAAAAACCACTACCCTGGGGAAGCAGAACATGGGTCCTTCCAGAACAATATGGTACTCTCCACTACCTACAAAATGGTGCCACACAGAATCTAAAGGGGCCAAGGGTATACATCTGGTAGCAAAGAAGAAAGGAATCTCTGATTTCTTCCTGTGACATTATTTGGACCTCACAGTTTCAAACTATTCCAAGGGATTCAGAGGATAATTTACCTTGAAGGTCTAGGACAAGTCCAAGCTAAGACATGGGTTTCATATCAGGTTTTGAGTGTGAGAAGAAGGGTCACTATGAGTGTGACTAAAGCTAGAAAGCCCAACTGCCAGAGCAGGGTACTGGCACTTTGGAAATAAAGGCTGAGCATATCTATGTGAACTAAAACAAAAAGTAGTAACTTTGAAGTCTATATGTGAAACACCAGGAAGACTGAGGGATCTAGATGAGTAAGGTCATCCTGGTAGCAAAGGTCATTGTTACCAGACTGAAGAAGCAGTTTGCATGGCAACAATGCAGCAACAGAATCAGTGGAAACAACACAATGATTAGAAGGACCTTTTCCCATCCCTCATCCTGACTGTAAAAGAAGACTGTCTTCCTGGGACTTAGGGAACCCCTTAAGTTCTTTTAAAAAAATCAAGGAGGAAGGTATAGAGGATAGCACCCAGAGGCAGTACTAAATTTTTTGCTAAAGTGGACATTTTAAGACCCAAATTACTGACTAGAAAAATAAAAAATGTGACACTGTGTTTATCCCATGCATTGGGGTTATACTTGGAATCAAATAGACAACTTTAATATCTGTAGGGATAACTGTGTTAAAAGCCCTAAAATAAAGAACCCTGGACCCACTGCTCCTTCTAACTAGTCTAGCTTTTTGCCTGATTTCTGGCTGATGAAATGAATTAACTCACTGCCCTTCAAAAACTAATCAAGCTATGAAATCTCACCTAGCCTTTACATGTAAACACTTAGATTAAAAATATTAGCAACAGCATAATCTTCTGCAGTCATTCCACACATATCTTGAGTAAATATGTCAGTATTTTGCTGAAGAATGCTATCTCCGATGACATACTGCAAGCATGAGGGCTGTGCTAAACTAACAGAGAGAGAACTTCATTCTTAGAAACTTTACAAACTTAATATGTGCTTGTCAGTATAGAATTAACCACTTACATGAACTAACAAACATAAGCATCCCGGGTGCTCAAGTGTCAATCTTTGTAAATAACCCCAAAGGCTTAAAGGAAGGGACAAAAAAAATTCATGTCCCACTGGGGTATGACGTAGTAGAAGTAGTGAACATAAAGTCCTTTGATGGGCAAAAGACTATGCTCAGGTCACTCATCTAAAGGAGGCAAAGATTTAAGGGAAGAATTATCCACTTCTTCCCTAGTCTGATATATTGTAATTCAAAATCAGTTAGAAGTCAGATAAGTAAGAGCAATCTGCAGGCTGAAAACAATAATACGATGAATAATTATATTAGTAATAGTCGTTCAGTTAATGATACTGATAAGCATGTGTGAGGCACTGAATTAAATGCTGTATGCACATAATCTAATTTCCACACAATCACCCCTGAAGGATATGTTATTATTCTCATTTTCATACAGGAAAACATATTCGGTACTAAGTAGTGTTTGCAAGGTCACCCCTAACAAGTGAAGAAGCTAGAAATTAAAACCAGTCTTGTGTGACTCTAAGGCCTATCTCTTTTCCATCACTCACCTACAGCTTATCTTCATTAAATAAAAAGTTAATTTAATTAAACATATCTTTCTTCCCTCTACACATACCGATCACAAATAAAAAATTAAAATACACCGTAAATTAAAAAGAAATAAAATGATGAATTCACAGTGGTGGTAACAATTAATAATCACTTAGGGATAACCTAACATTAATATTTTTCAAATAAATCATCTTAAAGCAAACAGTCATCCAAAACACAAAATAATTTTCAATTCCTATTTATGATTCATATTACATTTTATACAAAGAGTATACAAAAGCAGAAGGTAGATAAATACTATAAAATACTTAATAATTCAATATTGAATCAATAAGCAAACTAAAAGTTATAGTTCATATGTCCTAAAACTAAACCCTTTACTGAAGAAGATAATGTGACCTAAAACATCAGATTGCAAATAACATCAGCCAATATAATAAGAGAATATAAATCCTGTCATATACATATGTTCTTTATGTTGCCCAGTCCAAGTAAATGCTTTTCTACCTAACTGGTGATTTGTGTTGATATTTTCCACTATAATCCAATAATTATAAAGCTAATCTTCTGATAAATTGAATATTTCCAACTTGAGTGTTATGACTCTAGAACAATACTCACTTTAAAAAATGACTAAACCTTTTAAACTTATCTACTGCATTTACATTTGCATTTTTTGTTAGTAAAAATTATACCATTTGCTGTCTTCTTTTAGTTATGGCACATAAAAGTGGTGTGAGGCCATCCTGTAAAATGGCAAAAACAATTTATAATTCATAAAATTACATATTCGTCAGCTGAGCTGAATACCTTATATAATGTCCTATGAACTTAAACACAAAATAGAAAGCAAATAAAAAGCAGTCCCTTCCTTCTCACTCCTCTGTGCTTTCCCATGCACTGCTCCTCCACTTGAAAACATCTGGCCTCTGACTCACCACGTTAACTCTGGCCAGCTCCAAAAATGATTTGAAACATTCACTGGTTTCAAGAATCTTTGCTTCTGGCACAACATTTCACATGGTATCTTGTAATAATTTTATTGATTCCTATCTAAACCAAGAGATTCTTGAGGGAAGCTGCTGTGTCTTTTATCTCTTTATCCCCAAACCCTATGATATCATAGTAAATGCTTTAAGTATTTTTATTAAATTAATGATCTAAATTATTACCTCTAGAGCAGTACTTCCTAAACTATATTCCAAAGAATATTTACTTTGTCAGAAGTTAGACTGCACCTGAACAGGAAGATCCTATGGTCATCTACGTTTGAGAAATATAAAACTGGATTATATGTCCGGTATTCAAGAAATGTCTTGACCTTTGCCTAATCCTTATTTGACAATAGGTTTTGTGGCAACTAACATTTGAGGAATTAAAATTTCAGGAGCACAGTTTTTAAAACTTACCAGTAAAGGTAGGGGTTTCCTCCAGGTGACACAAACTCACTTGATTATTTTCTATCAATGGGCCCAGGATCCCAGCTGCCAAAGTCAGGCACTCCTGCTCCAAGTAGGTCACTAAGGAAATGGGCTCTGAATTAAATGAGGCTTCAAATGAATTTTGATTGCTTATTATTAAATGGTCCCTTAGGTTTCTCCTATGACGGGATCACAGAATTTTAGCTGTTAGAAAGTTCAGTATGAAATTTTATTCTCAATTATAATGATATTGATAATCCTAGGACCCTAATGCATATCTACTTCTTAAAATGCATTAATCCATTTTTATTCTGGTTTCTATTTTCATTGCTACTTAAAATTATCTTTTATTTTTGGCAAAATATCAGAAATACAAATGCAATGGCTTATCAATACCATTTCTAGCTGAACTATATGGGTTATTTTAGCATAATAAAAGCCACTAAATCACTTCCATTTTAAGGGACAATGCTGAGGAGAAATATATAATGTGTTCTGCAATATGCATAACCTATCCAAATATAACCATAATTAACCTAAAAAAGCCTATAGGCCTTCTAATGTGATTATTATGTATGGTATATATAAAGAAAAATCATTGTTTTAAAAAACTTCTAAATTCTAAAAGTCAACTCCATTATTAAGGACTACAAAATATATACTATATATAATAAACAGCTATCAACTATCTTGAAAACCTTGAAATCTCTACCAAAATATACTATATGACAGGAGTTGTTAACTAAAATATTTACAGAGGCAAAGGATGTGACCTGAGTTAGTACCTAGGTGGGGAGAGTGGGAAACTAGAGACCACAGACTTTGCGTGAAGCTATAGCCTCTTCATAGCATACCAAACAGTAATATGGGCTCAAGGGAAACCAGATTTCATTATTTAAGAAGAACCTGAAATACAGATTTTTGCATGTCTCCTAAATTTTACATGTTGGCTCAATTTATGCAGGCCAACTTTGCTTTCCTGTGTTGTTGTACACTAGTTAGAAAAAAAATACTTCAGTCAAAAAAATAATTCAAAAGTTTTACCTATAACAAATTCAAATATGTACCATAAATGCATAAAAGAAAGCCATACTCTCTAATACTTTTTGAAAGATATTAGTATTTAAAGTAAAATGTTAGACCATTATTTCAAATTATTTTTATTTAGGGATTGCTTAAGCTTCCAAATAGGAAAAATTGACCCTTACATATGTCAATGTTAAAACAAGTGGATTTCAAATATTTTGAAAATAACAATGGTTGATCTCTACATCGTTTTTCACTTCGATGTTTGTCTTGTATGAAAACAGTTGTTGTTACCTTTGACATACTCTCATTACAGACAGCAGGTGGAGAGCAGTGATGCCATAGACATCTGCAATATTTGGATCAACATCAAAGTCTAGCAGAATAGTTTCACATCTTCTTGGCATGTTAGAACCTATCAGTATTAGAACAAGAAATAAATCGTAAATTGTAGGAAATCAAAATAAATATTCCACAGGTTTCACAAACTAGTTATATTTCAATGAGACAAATTCATTTTTATTCTATGTATTTAAGCCAAATCCATCTCATGCTGAAAGAACTGGCTACTATATTCCTTCGTTAGAAGTGTCTTCTTTTCACTGTCACAGATGTTAAGCTGGCATTTTATGTGCACCAGAAAAGTTACCACTTCTGGACAGTCATTGGCACAGGCCAAATGTAGAGCCATCCTGCGAAATTGAGGAGATACTGAGAGAAGTTTAGTCCACTATCTCAAAACATACAATGATTCATGTAATTGCAAACAATAAATAGCATGCTATTCCTCTGCCTTCAAAACAAATATTTAATTTCCCCCTGAAAAGAAACAATATTTATTAGCTCTTATTATTCACTACATCAATGAAAGAATGACCTATTTGAATAGAAAGAGCTTGGCCTTTGGGTTCAGTTGAACCTGCAGTTGAATACTATTTTAAGATCTTTCACTTGCTAGATATTATAATTATTACTACTACTTATTAAAGACAACATCTTAATTAGGTAAAATGGTACTATTACACTTCCTTTGTGCTATGTTTTAAAGGTTCGAGATAAGACTGTATTTCAATGATTCCAAGATGCTCATTTTCTCATATTTCAACATCTCTGACATTAAAATGCTGCTTATAATTCATTATTTATTACAACTATATTTTGCAGCATTTTAAACATTATTTTATTGATACATAAAATAAGGCAGCATCACACAATCCACAGTGGCTACATCAAGTGGAATATGGTATATACAACAGGGCAATGGAAGTCCTAGTCATATGATTAATATTTAAATAAATTTTAAGCACTTAAACGTACCATGGGAAAGGAGGGTTGAAATAAAAGCAAATTTTTAAAACAAAGTAATTCCTTAATTTTTAAAAACTTTAAGCCAAAGAAAAGTCAGGATTCAAATAAATAAATATGGCTCATTTTACTAAGTATTTAGATTTACAGAATCTAAATGTATGCACGTATGTAAATTAGTATTTACATGTATAAAATGCATGTGACGTAAGTATCTATATAATTAATATCACTGTTTAAAACATATAAATTTTCAAAATGGCAACTGATATTATCTTGCACTACTTTCTCACATCAGAAATGATTTTTTTGTGAAAGATGAGAGGACAAGCTTCAGTTGAGACTCATTCCTCATTCTCTAATTTTAAATCTCTCAGCTTGCTCAGGCCAGGCAGGTACACATGAAATTTTTAAGAATAGAAGGGTGCTGATAGTTATTATAATGTGTCTTTTACATAACAAGTATTCAGTTTATATTTGATGAATAAATAGATTTTTTAAATGAATAAATGCAGTTGGGAAGTTTTATATTTTAAAAACAGATACAAATAAAGTAGTATTTTCACAATGGTAATAGTTACTTATATTCACTATTTTTATTTTCATAATAATAACACTAAACTGATTAATATTTAATTATTGGCATATATGTAATAAAACTACACATAATAAAACATGTGTTTAATAAAATATGTACATATATAAAACTACTATCACAGATAAAGGTTATCTTCACTTCCAAAGACACTAAAAGTTCACAGACTATACTAATCCATAGAAATAAAAATTTAAAAATAGAAAGAGGAATTATTTATATCTGTGCAAAATTCATATTTCTGCACTTCCTAAGGATTATTTCATTAATAATAATTATGCTATATGCTATATGCCAGGGATGCCCAATCCCCTGCTTAGTGAAGAAATCACAAATCATAAAAAGGAAAAACAGTTCATTATAATACAATTGTCCCAAAATAACAAATTTTATCACATTTGGTACATATTTTCAGATAAAGCAAGACCATAGTCAGTTTGTGTGTGTAATCAAACTGAATGTCATCTTCACTTGATACACCAAAATACATTTTCACATGTCAACATACTTCGGTAGGTATTACTTTCAGTGGTCACACATGATCTCTTACTATATATTTACTGAAATTTATTTATGAGATTTGTTATATGGATTCTCCTTAACACAACCATATTTTAAGCACTGCTGAGAAAAACAAATTGCATGTATCTCTCGTTGTTTCCTAAATATATTTAAATATAATGGAATTGATCAAGAAAGGGCATACACATAGTTTAAATGTGATACTTACCACCCAACTGACTTTTTGAAAAGTCATCAGCAACTTAACTTTAAGCAGCAGTGTAAATATCACTGCTCCTCATCCTCACAAACTTTGAGGACAGAAAACGGTATTTTATTCCTTTTTTAAATTAAATTTGTTCTCATCAGAAACACTAAATATTTTTTTCATATGTGATAGGTGACTTGCAGAGCTGGAAAAAGTACTTCACCCAATTTTAGAGATTTTTTCTTGTTGATTTGGAAGAATTCTCTGTAAAATGAATATCCGTTTTTAATATGTACACACAACAAAACAAATGTGACAAATATTGTACAAGTATGATGTCTTTTATTTTATCTTTTTCTCATATGCAGGGTGATTTAAATTTAATTTTGCTAAATAAACTTCAGACTGCTTGCTTGGGAAGTTCCTAGGAAGATCTTTGTCAACACAAAAATGTATCTGTATAAATAGGCATTTGTGTTTTCTTCTGGTATTTTTCTCATTTTGCATATTTAAAATAATCTATATTCAATGAGGAACTTATTTTTGTGACATAAAAATCTAGCTAGTTTCTTCCAAAAAGCAGGCATTTCATTTATAAAAATAACTCTTTTCCTACTAGCATAAAGTCTCGCCATTACCATGTTACAGATTCTTACCTATACTTGGGTGTTCCTGGATTTTCTATTCTCTTGCATTCATTTATCTATCTTTTCAGTTGTTAGCAAACTATTTGTGGAAATTAATAGCACATTTTGATATCTAGAAAGGCAAGACATTTTTCTGCATTACAAAAATGTTACGTCATCACAATACTAAAAGACTGCACGTGTAATTCAAAAATGTTAACTTTGATAACTTTAGGTAAAATTAATAAAGATCTCACACTTTGAGAAAAATGAGTCTTCTTATTCAAGAACATGAACCATCTTCTCACTTCAAAGTTTCCTTCTAAGGTCTCTCAGCAAAGAACATATTTACATAGGCATTCATTGATATAAAATATTGGATTTTAGTCAAAAAATTCTTAGCCCAGAAGGTGATATATTATGGGAATTCTTTCTTTCATTATGTACCTTTCTATAATGTATCTAACATTATCTTCAAACGTGTACATTAAAAATAAAACGATATATACTTAATTTTGTTAAATCACTTTAAAGTTCTCTCTAAAGTGCTCTGTAAGAGGAACTGGGGGTACAGGAACCAGCTAAAAGTTTTGGATTCTTTTTGCTGCTCATAAAGATGGCCTGGGCCCTCCGCCTCCAAGGCGTCCACATCACAGGCGCTGCGGAGTCCGCCTGGGAAGAAAGCCCAGAGCCCTGGGGACTAGGACCACCCGCCCCGCATACCCCATCCTTTGCACGCCTCCCCTGGCCCCCAATCTTCAAGCCCCCAACTCTGAAGGAGGTGCTTCTCCCCACCCGCCCGCCTCCTCCCTCAGTCCCCAGCCCGCAGTTCCTGACATCTGTTCTTGCAGGTTTCAGACTGGTCTTTTCTCTTGAGCAGGAAGCTCCGCTGCAGCTTCCACGCGTTTCCCTGGACGCAGCTTTGTAGATCATCCCGACATCCTCATCTGGGGTCTGGTACCAGGGGTCAGAGAAGATGTGGTTACTCCAGGAGCTCAGGCACACCTGGCCCTTCTGGCTCTCCACAGCCACAATCTTCTTCATGGCCCGGCTTCAGAGACGCCACAACTCGCCCTCGCCCTTCCCCTAGCCCAGGCCCCGCCCAGCCCCCACCCGGCCCAGCACCAGAAAGCAAGGTGGTCTGGCCCAGACCTCAGACAGGGACCCTCCCACCCTAGGACAAGGACGTCTCCAACCTCTGGGAGAGTAAGTAATATGCGGAGCAGAGTCGTTGGGCCCCAGCGCCCATGGGCACCTCGGAAGGCAACGGCCTCACGCCTGGCCAGAAACCGCCCTGAGCCGCGCACTCGCGGGCACCGCATGCAGGTGGCAGCTGCTGCTGAGGCGCCTATGGACTGGCGGAGCTCCCCAGACCGGAGCGCGCTGTCCCAGGTGCCTCAAGGCCCGCCTAACAGAGCTGCCTCCTTCTGCTGTTCCTCCCCTGCCCTCTGTTGAGCGCGAGGTCTTGGGTGCTGGGCACTGTGCAGCTGCCTAAATGGGGCTGAGTTACCGGTTCCCCACTCCTGCAGCTGAAGGACCAACCGCCCGAATGAGGCGCTGCCAGGGTGTCTGGCACCGGGGTCCGCACTGCTGGTGGCTCGGGCAGCGTTGGGAGTTGCCACCACTACTACTGCGCGCCGTATGCAGATGACAGCTGCAGCTGAACCCAAGGCGGAGGCTGGCATGGCTGGTCCTAGACGGCCTTCGGGTCTCCGAGTGTACCACCCTCCCATCTTCCTTGCCCTGCTCCCAGAGAACGAGGTCGCCAATGCTGGGGACTGTGCAACAGCCTAAATTCGATGACTGAGCAGCGGGTTCCCGCCCTGTAGCTGCCAGGCCAAGCGGCTCCTCGGTGACGTCTGGTCCTAGGTTTTGCGCTGTTGGTGGCGTGGGCACGGTGGGAGGTTGCCACAGCTGCTTCCCTGCACCCTGTGCAGGTGGCAGCTGCAACTGAGCCGACGATGGAGGCTAATAGGGCTGATCCTACATGGCTGAGGGTCGCTTAGTGTACCTCCCTCCAACCCCAGGTTCCACTCTTTGTTGGCCCACGCACAGAGTGTGAGGTCCTGGGAGCTGGACAATATGCAGCAACCAGAATGGGGCTGAGTTGACATTTCTCACTCTCCTGCAGCTGCCGGGCCGACCGCATGAATTAAGCGCCCGACCCTGGGTTCTGCATTGGTGGTGGCAGCGGGCAGGGCGGGGGTTGCCACCGCTGCTGCAGGATGCCATGTGCATGTGGCAGCTGCAACTGAGCCCATGGCGGAGATTGACTGGGCTGGTCCCAGACGTCCTGAACGTCACCGACTGCATGGCCCTTTCACCATAGGGTCAGATATGGAATCCTGGCCAGTTCCGAGAGCTCGGCATCGAGGGTTCTGAGCACTGTGCAGACACTGGGATGGGGCCGAGCACCGGTTCTCATCCTCCCGTTGCTACAGCACCGATCGCCTGAATTAATCCAAGTGGCAGCATCTCTCCCTGGGGTCCGGGGCTGGTGGTGCGGGCAGGGTATTGGATTGCCATCTGTGCTGCCGCACGCCATGTGCAGGTGGCAGCTGCAGCTGAGCCCACGGCGGAGGCTGGCAGGCCTGGTCTCAGAGAGCCTGAGGATCGCTGAGAGCAGCGCCCTCCCTCCCTAGGGTCCGCTCCTCTTTGTCCCGCGCCCTGAGCCCCGGGTCGCGAACGCTGGGAACTGTGTGGCCGCCAGGTTCTCTTCCTGCAGTTGCCGGTTCCCTTCTTGCATCTGTCCTGCCAACTGCCTGAATTAGAAGCCCTGGTAGCCTCTGGCCTTGTAATTTTCACTGCTGGTGGCGCGGACAGGGTCGGGGGTTGCCACCCCTGCTACTGCGCCACATGTGCAGGTGGCAGCTGCAGCAGAGTCCATGGTGGAGGTTTGGAGGGCTGGTCCCAGACAGCCTTAGGGTCGCCGAGGACACCAGTCTCCCATTCTAGGCTCTGTTGTTCCTCCCATTCTAGGGTCTGGCTCCGAATATGGGGCTTCCCTCAGAAGGCCTCCAGGTCGCTAAGTGTGCCTGCTGCCAGGCCTCAGGGTCTCCTTGACCTTCATCTGGAGAGCGGCCCTGTTTCGGATAATCTGAAGCCAAAGACGATAGAGCTGAGCTGTGGTTTTGCCCATTGTTCCACAGCCCAGCCAACTACCTGACTTAGCAGCCACCATGACACCTGGTCAGGGGATCTGTGCTCCTGGGGATCACGGAAACTAAAGTAACAATTGAATATCAATTACCACCTACCTGCTTGGAGGTGTGAAAGAATGTTTATAAAGCAGTTACAAGATCTCCAGAGAAAGGCCAACTTAATATAAAGAGAGACTTTCTTACTAATGGGTGAGAGCCTCACCTTTAGGAAGTCCATGAATTTTCTCTGCAGTGATGCAACACGAAGGGAAAAACAAGGCAGCTCCAGAAAGGTGAGATGTGTGAAATTAAACTGGTTATGAAGTCAGCCCAGTTTCAGGAGTTTTTTTCCTCTTCCCAGATGGATGTGAAAATCCTAGAAAGACTCCAAGGGCCACCTCTGTGTTGAGAAGTGGCTTTCTAATGGGTAGGTTTCTGAAAGGTTCGTTATAGACATGTAGCCTCTGTCTCTGATGTCAGAGATTTTTAGTAAAGGATGTCCTTTGATCTGCAGAACCTGCTCTACCTGAAGATCAGCAACCATTTCAAGCGGAGCCAGTGGGTGTTGAGCTAAGGATGGAGTTGCAGCATGAGATCCGAGGTGACACTGGGCTGAGGAATTTCCTCAACTACATGGAAAGAGGAACCTGAAAGCTCTACCAACCAACATGTGTATCAGTTACCATTTGTTTCTTTCTTTTTAAATACAAATGATATGAGTTAGAAGACATTATAGCTAACCTTACTAGGAAACTAGTAAGATTCTATTGGGATGAGCCATAGCTTGTGGCTTTGTCCATATGTTCTGCGTCTGACAGAGAGGCAGCCTTGCCATTGGTAGTGGTACAGCAGGACTCTGTCCAGCACTGTCAGGCTTAGGTTAAGTATGAACTGATTCTCATTTTTAATAAAGCTTGTCTCGTCAGGTAATATAGAGATCTTGCTACCAGAGATTCTCACCCCCAATACTTCCATAGACTTTTCCTTTAACTTCTTTTATTAAAAATGTTTTACATTTAATAGAAGGCCATTCAGCCCCATACTGGCAGCTGCACTGAGCCAGACAAAGTGGCTCATGCCTGTAATCCCAGCACTTTGGGAGGCACTAGATGAGTGAGGAGGGCATGAGTGAGGAGGGCGGGTGGGGTGGGGGGAGGGTTTTGTAGGAATGAAGTGCACTGTAGAAAGCAGAGTTGGCTGAGTACTCAGGGCTCCCTGCAGGTGTCCCTGCAAGTAGAGGGAAATGTGAACTGAGAGGTGGGGACTGTGACAGGACTTGCATTCCTCAGTCAGGCTTTTTCCTGCCACTGTTGACAATGGAAACCTGGGTGTGCTTGCTCTTGTAGATTACTCGTCAGCACGGCCTTCTATTTGTCATTGTTCCTCCCAGTCAATCCTAATACCTCACCCGGAACTGAGCTTTCAAGCATTTAAAAGTTTAATTTTTAAGGCTAATCTTAGCAATTCATAGTTGATAATATTGTACTTTGGAGGAATGCCAGGTACATGAGAAATGTTGAATTGTTTAATCTTAGGGTAAAAATTTCTCCAAAACGTTATTTCTGAAATGACAGTCACTAGTTGAGCATTTATTTGGCAGAATTGACTGTTCATGCAGACAGTATTACACACCTTATCAGTGTTTTCCAAGTGAATATCTGTCTCCATTTGAAAATTGAGGCTGGGCATGGTAGCTCACACCTGTAATCTCACATTTTGGGAGGTCAAGGTAAGCCGATCACTTGAGTTGATGAGTTTGAGACCAGCCTGGGCAACATAGTAAAACCCCGTCTCTATCAAAAATACAAAAAAATTAGCCACGTGTGGTGGTACCTGCCTGTAGTCCCAGCTACTCGGGAGGCTGAAGTGGAAGGATTGCCTGAGTCCAGGAGTTCAAGGCATGGCAGTGATTGTGCGAGTGCACTTCAGCCTGGGTAACAGAGTGAAGCCCTGTTTAAAAAAAGGTATGATGAATAGTGTACAGAAATCAGAT